GGATAACGCGTGGGGCCTTTCCTTTTTAGCTGGCTTATATTATCGTTTTATTTCGGACACTGACCTTTGTCACGAAATTACAATGTATGTTGAAACAAATTCGAGAGGGTGTATGGACTTCTAACTGCTACGGTTCGGTCAAAGTAAAAAGGAATTGACCCTCAGGGACCTTGGCAATCTACACTGAGTATTTTCTGTCAGGACACATTAGCGAGAGTCTTACCGAAAACACGGTATCAACAATTGCGTCTGTTGAAGTAGATGCCAACGGCGTATCCCATGTATTCTACAGGGGGATTTCGTCAACGGCGCTTTCAGGAGCTACGTCCTTCGGATGCCGAATGTTGCAGGTTCTTCGATGATACCAGTTGGAGAAAATGCTATATTTCGATCTAGCTATACAAATAAATGGTTTTTACCCTTTATATTTTTTCGTCTAATTGAACATATCGTAACAGCAATATGGCGTGCGCGCCTGTGAGCAACAAAATGGTAGAGGCTCTCTAACATCTGATGATGGAGCTGCCGCTAGCTAGTGTTAATGGGCCGAATATTAAACGTCACGGTAATAATGCATTCAACCTTGCGGTATCGTGGAACATGCAGCTGTTTGTTATTGCAGAAGAACGACAGCGTTTCACGATTACCCGTGCAAGGGCGGCAGCCCAGTTGAAATTCGCAGTTTCAGACGAGAAGGTCGTAGTACCTAAACTATAATAACTACGTAGTTCAGGGGGCACCCCGGTATATGAGCCGAACCCGTTGTAGGGATAGTTTATCTAAGCCTCTCTGTTTCGAGTTTTACATCCGGTGTCATAGTCACTAGGCGGTCGTTCAACAGACGGACAGTCTGTTTGTCTATGCCCGGGCTCCATCACAGCGTGTCTCTTAAATGTATCTAAGCCTGTAAAAAGGCCTTAGACTAGAACGATTATGGGTCTGGTTCCTTCTACAAGTGAGACAACCATACGTGTTCATTACTATAGTACGTTTCTGGACGTTGCTGGCCTCGTCAGTTCCTGTTTCTGCTCTTTGGCGGTTTGGTGTCCGTCAAACAGGCATATGAGGCAAAAGAGGCCACAACTGCAAGGCTACTGTTGACGTTTGCTATTCTTCACTACATTACGCACCGGTATCTTATCTTTACCTGCTGTCATCGGACATGTCGTTATTTTCATTCTTCACACAACCACCAGTGAATTGCAAATACCCTGATTGCTGTTATCATTAACTCAATTCGAATGTTAAAAAGTTTACTTGGTTAAACTGAGCAGTACAAAATTAACCAATGGATTATTACTAAGAGTGTGTCTGCATAAAATACATTTTACGATAGGAATGTTGGTAGCGAAAGCAGCAGAACTACGTTGAGTGCGACAAAGGTGTGCCGTTACGCCGAGCCGAAAAAGCTGATCAGCACAGAGTGAGACAGAAGAGAGATTGCTTTTAGTATCTAGGATCTACGTTCGTACTGATAGCTCAAGTGTTCTACTTATAAACGAAAGTTCTCTACTTTATAGAATATGTTCCTTCCTTTCCAAATAGAAACAGGCTTTTAACTTACAATAGGAATATTACGTTATAATGAAATAAAGCCTCAATTTATTTATTCGACGACTAACGACGGCAGTACAAAGCGCAACCGGTTTAAGACCGGTATCAGCATATTTTGGAGTCGGCCTTTGGATCGGTGCCATTGAAGCCAACAGCAGCGCCGAAGAGAAATGACAAAATGTTGTTATGTCTCAGATTAATTTGACGCCCTTCTGTGGTTTGTTATTGCGACAAATCGTTTTTTTTTTTTAGCATTACAAGCGACTATCGTTTAGTTAGTTTGATACAAATAGAGAAAAGTAGAAAAATCAAGATTGCGCTACTAAAATGCCATTAAACTACACCACGATAATGATGACAATGGGGACGCTGATGGTGATGACATAGATGAGGATGATGATTTGCAAAATACAGACAATTCTATAATTTCCAGTATATCAGTTTCATCGTGCATTTTCGGGTCCAGCTATTCTATCATATTCTATTATTAGATTGAAGATATTACACGAGGTGCAAGCCGGTCTGGACGGACGGATAACGACCGCAAAAGCAAAACATCAAGCGAGAAACATCAGATCACAAAACCACGGACGGTCATGTAGCGGCACCGAAAAGTCGTAACAAAGTAGAAGTGAAGAAACTGTCGGCCGATAATGCTGACGTTAACAAACTTAAACTAGACTTTTAATCAATTACCCGCGATCTGTGTTTTTATCCACCCTATAACAGGCGCCCTAAACTTTTATTATATGTTCGGCAGAAACACCTGCTGATTGCCATGAAAATACTTATCATAAAATGGAAGAATTTTGCAACAGTTTTACAGATAAGGACTAATATGACAATCAATACAACAAGTATGTCATTGCTTTGAATAGATCTGAATGAGGCATAGGTATTTACTGATCACATGGTAAGTAGCTGTCTAGGATTAGAGTTGAAAAAGTTATGATGTTTGCTACTTCGCGTATGGATGTTGCAAAAGACAACTGAGAGGCTGCAGGAACTGGTTCCCCAAGCATGACTGTACCGCGTCGGCTACGGGCACAGCTAGTCGTCCTGAAAAAGCCTAACTAGAGTTTTGCTATCACGAAGGATGCCACACCTCGAGTTTTCAATAAGAGGACAAACATCGAAGTGAGCTATACACGATCTGGGTGCCTTTGATTTGGCAAAGACATGAAAAAGATAAAATATGACAGCAGTCAAAAGTAGCGTTACATAAAATTCGAATGTATGTGCGGCATAGTAATTGCAAATGCCCATATGAACGAGCCAGAAAGGCCAGATGTTTTTCAAACGTTTTGTCGCGATCAGGGGATATTACAAATGGGCGAAATTCGTACGTATAATTAACTATCTAATTATACGTATCGGATGACAACTGCGAGATTTATACAAGGCGTATCTAAGTACTTGATACGTGAACCTACACGTATACATGAATCAGAGACGATAAGTTTTATAAATAAAAGAAAAAAATAAAGACGCGACTTCTCCCACAGTTATACTGAGCCATGTAGTTGCTGAACAGACGCCTTTTCGTAGCAGACGTTCGTAGCTGTGATATATTAATTATTCTATTCTTTTGACAATATTAATTAATACTGAAGGCCCCATTTTCCCATGGTAGCTTGGACAAAGCAAGGACATTTATCCGATACGCGAATAGAAAATATATGTACTTTTATCTATTATTGTGTCGTAAAAAAATAGGTTTATCATAGAAGCTGTTATAAACCTTGCAATGCTGCCTTTGAGGCTTGTCAATACATACAATCCGATTTGAAGCTCTCCTTTTCATCACATGTATCCTACACATGTTTCCTTTGTAATCCATGGAGCTATTCTGAAATGCTTTGGCTTGTTATTTATGTAATGCTGCCTTTTTATGTGAGGTCATATTTACGGTTATTACTATGGATAAACATAAATGTTTTGCAGCACTTAACCATAATACTATAACATGAAGACGGCAAAAAAATAGCGCGATTACCGCGATCTATCCGTGCATCGTCACATCTGTGTGCCGGTAGCGCTTACAACATACACAAACGTAGAATTTGTTGAGAAATGCAAAAAAAAATATGGGTTTAGCAGTAAGGTTCGTTCACGGGACGCCATCTGGTGACCGGTTTAAAAGATATGAAAACACTGGAATTATGAAAACTAATGTAAGAATGTCATGGGTAAAATTGTCGTGGATAGCTTGATCTCAAAGTTGAACCCAATCAACTTACGCAATTAGATTCCGTACTATCCTGCCGTATACGTTTCATACTGTTTGTTAGCTACATTTATAAAATGTGTGAATCGTAGTATATTGAGATAAAAACTTAAAAAATTGAACATTTAACTGTATTTTTCTCATCGTATATAAGCAAATATACGATATAGATGCACGTCTACATTATTCGTCTATATATCCATTGTCTTCTGGCCACATAGTCGTCCCTATGTTACGCCATTGGGCTATGGTTGTCATCTGCGGTTCCTTATTAATCCAAAATTTAAAAACTCCTCTCTATGAAGCAGCCTTCCCGCTGTTCCATCGACCTGCCCACTAAGACCAGCCGAAGGAGTATTTGCTGTTTAAAAGTGATTAGGGATCACTGCATCAGCTTTACCCAATTTTCAATGGTAACCTAGTTTTTCAACATCCAATATTCCACTTTGTACGATTTGTAGGGCTCATTCATTTGAAGGGCTGACAAGAAGTGCCCTTTTGGGAACAATCTAGTTAGCATCAAGTAGTAGAATACATCAAACTAAGATGAGTTTCACCGTTTAGGCAGAAGCGAAACGACAATATCTGTGTGAGAGAAGGCGGCTGGCTACAAACTCTGACGTTTTACTGGAAAAGTAGAATCACTCGATTCTTGAAAAGTTCAATAGAACTATAACGGTAAATGGCATAGGCACCTGGTTGTGAGGACTCGGAGATCGACGAGAACCATAAATCAATGATGCTGGAATATGTCAATAAACGTATCTGGCTCTTCGAGCAAATAAAAGGCCCTTGAATGGCCAAAAATCAATATTTTAAAGTATCCTTAATACAAACACTGAGAAAAATGATATCGGAATAAGTGGATCCGACGTCGGCATAATGTCTTCTTTATATTAACATAGACAAACGGAAGTGCATAAACTACTGCAAAGTGTTAAATAACTACTCTGTTCGACCATGCACACATACCCTCTCACACACTGACATGCTCGTACTATTGCCGCGGGGCATATTTCGTTAGAGTCATCTGATCAAAGCTATGTTTGAATGTGGACCAATATTTTCTGTCCATTGGCTTGCTGATTACTGCTACATACTGGCCTAAAAAGGACGGCACCAAAATGCAAATGGCCATGACGATTCTACATTTTTTTAATAACAGCTAATAATTATGCAGCCCCGCTCTAACCATGTGTGTATGTTTGTTTTGTTTCAGGTAAGAGTTGGTTACACTATACCCATGAAAGTTCAAAGAATCGCGACCGTCGATTTTGTTTACCCACTCGGAGACACGAAATTGTGGTGACGATGTAGATAATGCCACATTTCTTAATAATCCTTCTTGAAAGGCGTACTAGTTGGTACTAATTCTTTACTTAGCTACCTAGCTAAAACTATCCTAACTAAAAAATAATACTCTGTCTATAAGTATCGATAAAAATGCTTATATCTAAAAAGCGACACAAAGTATGTTTTCGAAATAGTTCATCATAGTTTTAGCAATTATGCCTAATATCGTCGTTACAATTGATCGCATATACATCCGTAGCCATGTTGGAGATATGTGTATTTATTTATTAGAATAACGTTATCTTGATAGAAAAGTTCCGGACATGCTTAGTTCTACGAGGAGTCTCATAAGGTCCATAAATGAAGTCGAGCCTTTACACTACGTACAGTCTGTCCATAGTTAAAACCGGTATAACAAAAAAAAAAAAACAAGTACTTCTCTAGCAAATCTGCGTATCCAAACCTTGACATTGCATTGTTGTTTTGCATTCAGATTTCAACCTTCACCTGTGATTATAATTACTGGCTGTTTTTTCTTCGTTTTTTTTTTACATTTGCACGATCATTATAAATTCAATTCCTTTCGGCTAGTCGCTCCGAGTTTTGCGGGCCAGATAGAGGTAATACTTTCAAATCGAAAGGTATTGCTGTAGTTTGCTAACAGATAAACTTCTCGTATTTTTATAGATCCCTTCGAGGACCGACAATTACAGGCGCTACTTTTGTTCGTAGTAAGACCGTCTCTATGTATCGATGGTTTAGCGTGACTCTGTTTGGACTATTTGTAGAGTATGGGACGTGTACACATCTTTTTACCGAGTGAAACTGTTTCATTGTTATATTCACTCCGAACCCGCTACCTATGTACAAATTATCCCTTATAAAGAGAGCCACATCTGATCTGCGCCGTTGTTGGCCCTCTGCGTTGTCCTGTTCCTCTCAAAAGCAGTCACAAAAGCTCAGTTCAATAAGCGCAGAGCCCTACGTAGTGGATTTTCATTAGGTGGACTAACCTTTGACCAGCCTTTATCCGCTGCCTCGAAAATGTCCATTCATCCCTTGTTTTAAACAAAACAAAAAAATTAGTTAGAATTTATTTCTAACCAATTTTTGTTTCGTAATTGATGATGCTTGTGTGTTTTTATTAGCTATGTTACATGTAACTCTCGTGTGGTTCATAATTGATTTGGATCTTTTCAGGCCGACGCGGCCTTTGGGTTTGTATGTTTGAATAAAGTTCGGTTAACTGTATTTTATCATTAAGCTTCGATGAAGATAAGATCTTCGATCGAAGACTAAATAACACATTCAATGCACAAGTGCCAAATTAATAAAAATTGATATTAATAATGTCGCGGACACTATTAATATCAATTTTGATAACAAAAAAAAAAACAGTATTTTTCATCGTTGTTATTGCTACTTGCGTTTCGCCCGTTCCAGTTTCACGCGTGTTTTTCTCTTTCTTGCAAGTGTACGCAAAATAAAAACCTTGCAAGTAGGGGCTCTAATTAGAATATCGTATTATAATATAGGAACACTGAGAACATCAACAGTTTATAGTCGAATGAGAGTGATCAGCAGTTGGAGCATATCAATGCAATACGAACCTTCATAATCGCCTACACAGGTGCTAAATTTCTTATGGAATCATTCGCGAGAGATGTCCCCTAGAAGCGGCAGGGGGCGTCGAGGTGACGTCGCCCTACCGTCACGCGCTCGTCGGCGCCAATCCGCCGGTCCTCAGATATTCATCCCGTCGCTACAGGATCTACCTGCCGCCCAGGAAGGGCTATTTGAGGTTTGTCGGTCTATTATTATCAGTGGCACCCTATAATAATTACACGTCATGGTCATGATCAGCGGGTCACGTATAATACACACCCCAAGTCGCGACTACAACAAGTGGAATATGTTATGATTACCCGGAAATAATTTCTGACGGTTCAATACACAAATGTTACATCCTTCGATAAGGTAGGCCGATCAATTGATAAGTACGTATCCGAAGTTATTAGACTCGGTAAATCCGTTTTAAACCGTAAGTGTTTACTATTAATCTATGTTATGGATCTAAACTACGTTGAGTAAAAGTAAGTATTAACTTGTCAGGTAAGCTAGGCCATAGTACACCTCAATCTCGCGCAGTGAATATTTATAAAGTGTCCTTCAATAAACAGCCTTATGGTCGATATCCGTTGGCCTAAAACAGGTCTTTCTAGAAAAATGTTCTTTACTACTGTTACGCCGTGATCTGATCGTTGAATTCGATTTAAGAGATCATTGATTTTCCTAGAGAAACACGTATGTTAAACAGTTGCCACGGTATTTGCTAGTCAAATGACTCGGCTGAAGCATATCATCATAAAGATATATATTTCCGCGGTACATTAGCGACTCGCAGAACGAAAGAGTGTCACCGTTTGAAGATGACCAATAAGAATCCTCAGGCTGCGGCCATTATTGTCATACAAATTTAGTTGCGTTAAACAATAGGTACGCTTGATTAGGTGTTTCCATTGTTTTTATAACCGGCAACGACGATCTCGGTTATTGTAATTGTCAAACAAAATAGAGTGGATCCGGGAAATCAATATCATTCCACTTGTTCCTCGCTACAGGCACTGCGTCTCACTGACTTCTTACGCCACTGCTTTGCTAAAAATACTATCATCGCTATACTAACAACTAATATATGGGTCTCTTTGCTATCGTGGTGGTATGGGTTGGGACCCAAACGAGGACAGCCTCCACTTTTTGCCTATAGCTTGCAATTTGATGGAATACCTAACGGCGATACTGGACATGAAACATTTAGCTTAAGGTTCAACTATCCAGGACAAGATAAAACATCGATAACTTGTCGCAACAGTAAGTGCTATTCTACGATGTGACACTTACGTGGCTCGCTGGTTTGTCTAATTCTCACGCATACTCACATATTTTAATATAATTCAAGCTAGAACGTTCGCCGCCTTACCGATGATATGATTAAATGATGAGCAGGTATTTAGCTAGTCAGTCACCGAGAAGGAGCCGCACAGATTTATGCGGGCCGAATTCGGCCCAAAGGAAAAGCATATACACATGTTTACATTTATTTGGTGAGGTTTCCTAGAAAAGGGTTAGATTGAAGCAGAAAAGCTACATTATTGAGGCTAGACTAAACAATGCTGTACATATTACTATTAAGTGTAACCTTTGCCTGAACAATTGTCGGTGCGTCTTAAAATGCTGAAATTGGACATTGGACGTGCAACAACGACAATAGCGGAAGCCCTGCAAGCACTATTAATAGCGTCTTCTAGGAAAACTTCGGTTGACTCTTTGTCATAACGGGCACACGTTTATTCGCTGCTCCTCCAAAAAAAATCCAGTTCTTTCTAGAATAGAACAGCAAGTTCGTCGGGATTCGAGCAAATATTAGCTACTGATTAATCTTCCCGTGCTGGACGAACCCCCAACCGAAACTAAAAATGTTTTGTCTGAAATTGACGGCCTGCATTGCTGGTATTCTTCACGCAACTTCTGAAACATCCGAAAAAAAAATTCTGTAAGCCAGATTGGAAGATCTTCAATAAATCGTTGGCTTTCAAAACAGCTCAAAAAGCGTAATTCCGTCAGAATTGTTTGTACCTAGAGTATATGACCAGTTTACATCTACTAATGTTCCTTGATGCACGGGTACTACTAGGAAGTCGCTATTGGTATTGCCGTTGTCTGCCGCTCATTCAAGTAATAACAATGATCAATCATCGTGGCCGTCAATATGCATTTCACTAATATTAAGTATTTGTCATAGAATTTAAGCCAATTAAATAAGAACGGTATATCCTATAGCCACTAAAATCTTGTAATTGTCAATGGACGTTTACTATCAGACTCTACGACAGGAAGATTCAAATCACTTCAAGGAAAACATATTTCCTAATTACAGCAGTAGACTGTCCTGATGTTAGCAGCTAACTGGATACGCGGCATAATACCGAAAAAATGCCAAATTATTTGCATTTTGGTTCCGCATGTGCAAGTTCAAAGTTCCTAATGTCGGATCACGCAGTTTGAACAACAAAGGATTTGTTTAGGATATAGAGTATTTCTCTGCTTATACGAAAATATCTGTCAGCTTTGGAACGGTTCCATTGATTTTCTCTGGAATCGAAGCGCATTAGTTTGTCATGCACTACGACTTCTGAGATTTGTTTGCATTTTCTTTTTTTTTATGAAGAAATCACCCGGTTTTAATAAAAGTAATAGAGCTGTCATAGGAGGAAGCCGGCGTAGTCTTCATCCTCAGTGAAGCTTTTCGTGCTATGTTCAAGATGCGACAGATGTTACACAATCCAGAGATCATACATACGCCAACATCTGACTCAAAATTTCTACTGTTTCTTAATATAGCATTGTACGTCTTTAGGACACACAATAGGAACCATGAACATTGTTGGAATTGACAAGAATATCGTAATCTTCTGATTACGAACCTCTAAGCCAATATTCCGGCAGGGCCGAATACATTGAATTGTGGCAATCTTTCGTCTTCAGATTTTTGTTTCAGCTCAACTCCTTTGTTTTATCGGGCCCTGCCTTAGAGTAACTGTTTAAAATAGTCATTATAAAACGTTACTAGTTCTCGTAATCAAATTTCGAACATTGGGATACACTTACCAGGTATCAAAGAATCGCATTTGTCCTACGTTAATTATGCAACTGACTACATGTAAGAATAAAGCTTTTCTAAGCCAATTAGCATGGTCTTAGTCGTTAAAACGCTATGGCCTAATCCTGGTATAAAGGATCTCGACAAGAGACGAATATTACGTCACTGATGGACTGAGAACAGTCCTCATGCGAGGTTTCGATGCTTAGTTGTGTCAACTTCACTATCAAATGTTGTGCCGCAATAATTTACAATTTTTGTCAACTATTTTATTAGCGACATTAAAAATGGCAATTTTTGGGCTATTTTTCGATGAATCATTTGCAGCTAGTTCTTGTAGCATCGTTCTTCCGCCACACGATTTACACGCTTCCGAAAAGCACCCAAGAGTATCAGCTGGATCTTTAATCGACGCGTTTGTTATCCCATGAAAGACAGGAAGTAGGGACTGGGAAGAGAAATGAGTTCTCGTTTTTAAGCATTTGTCGATAACTTCCGGCCGCAAGTACGATGGCAAAGGTCCTTTTGGTGGAACCCACCATGAGATGATGTAGCTGTGGCCTGGACGGTCCTACCAAGTACCATGTTCGCGCTAGGTAAACTCCTCGC